AAAGAACCAAAGAAGATGAATCATTGCAGTCACGAAAGCTTTAAATCGAAATTTGACTTGGTTTGTTTTCTCATTCATTCATTCATACCTGATGACGGTTTGCTTGTGTTTGCAATCGAAACGTCGTATTCTGTTATTTAATTTATTTTCTTTCTCCGTGACTTTACCGAAAGGAACCACGAAGTGATTCCTGCAGTCACGAAAGCTTCGAATCAAATGAATATCACATAGATAAAAATAAATAAAAACTACGACGTTTCGATCGCAACGCAAGAGGTCGCCATCGGGAGGATGACCGAAGAATATTAAATCCCCCGCGGGCGCGAAAGTTTGAAGGCAAAATTTAGGGAGGGAGGTTCACGTCGATTGAACATGAACAGATCACGTGACGTTTCGATCGCAACACAAGCAACCGTCATCAGGTGAGACAAAGAACAAATTTGACCTCAGGTCTTCGCTCATCTACCAGTTTCACATTCCCCTATTGCCATACAAAAACGGGAGGAAGGGCCTTTGCTATTGATGCCCCCAGAGTCTGGAATGCTATTGCCAATAAACTTCTCTCAAAACTGCTCTAGAGGAGTTGTACACCCCTAGCTGCCACTGCTATTCATTGGCGTAAAATAAAATAAAATATTTCACTCCGGATGACGCTGCAAAGTATGATCTGTATTTTGATTTTGCGTGCTGATCTTAAAGGTGCATTGAAAAATTTGATACTCCGACCGATGCTTCTGTTGTTGTGGAGTAACTCATGCAGCCAGCTATGGCTCTAGGATTTGGTGTTACATGTTATTTACGTAGTTTATTGTAAAAATTCGGTCACAGTCCTTGTGATTACTGTTACGTTGCAATTATAGCTTTATTTTTTGGTGATTTGGAAAAGTTTTTTGGTTTGGACATGTTTGTTTTGTTGTAGTACGGCGTTAGACTGATGGTCTTAATCTAAATTTGTGTGGTAGTTGCTGTTGTTTGACTTGCATCCCACTGGGATTTTATGCACACAGTGTTGGTGTACGGTGCTTTTTTCAGGAATATTTTTGCTGGTTTTTTTTCCATGGATTTTCTGTTTGCACAGTCACATAGCCACTTCAAGATGTTTTTATTGCTCGTGTTTTTGTTGTTGTTGTAGTTGCACCCGATTCAAGAGCCGAATGCCTCACAGGGCTATACCAAAATAAACTGAAACTGAAAACTGACAAACACCGCAGGAGAACTGCTCCGTCAGCAGTTCTCAAAGAGTGTGGATTCCTGCAGTCTCGAAAGCTTCAAATCAAGATTAGGGAGAGAGGTTTGTCCTTGGCTCATGCAAAGTTGCAGCGAGGCTCCGCGAGACGCCCCCAAGAACGTTACCCACTGCTGGGCGAGTTTGCGGCACAAGGTGCACGATAATTGTACACGGTGTAACAAAATTAAATACATAAAAATTGCTCCTGGGTAGTAAGTGTTATATTCGAATTGCTTATGCCTAAAAAGTACAGAAATCGGCTGTTATTATTGCCCCACAAACTTTGCTTTAGTGACCAGGACAGTGATATTATGAAATGTAGCTATTTAAAAAAAAAATAACAGTAAAATAATAATACAAATAAAGTGAATACAAAAGAGTAAAAATATCACGACGTTTCGATCGCAACACCATCAATCGTCATCCTGCAGTCACGAAAGTTTAAAGTTAAAATTGAACTCTTTTCAATGGCAATACGTGGTGTGCATTTGTGTCATTCCTTCACGTAAAGTCCTGGTCACAAAAGCAAAGTTTGTGGGAGAATAATAACAATAATAGCCATTTTCTATACTTTTGAGGCATAAGCAATTAGAAAATAACACTTACTAGCCAGGAACAAAAATCGCGCTACACGGTGTTATCACGTAAAGCTAAACGGCAAAAAAGAACCTCCTGTTAAACATTTTTTTTTAAATCTACATGACCACAAAGCGATCGACCCGCCACCGCCCACGGCTTCCCGAACGGCCCGGCCAGTTTGGAAGAGTAGGCCAAGTGCCACTCGAGAGAGGGGGGCTCTCCAGAGCTTCTCCTTACTCGAGGAGACCCCTTCCGCAGGCAGTGGCGTCGCAAGCGATCAGTTGCAGAGCCTGCAGCCTTGACGCGTTGATCGTGGCAATGCATCCAAGGGGCCGTCCATAAATGACGTCACGCGATGTTAGACGATTTTTGACCCCCCCCCTTCCTCGTCACACGGCGTCACAAAAAGTAAGACCCCTCCTGAAATATGACGTCACAAAGCTCTGCCCCCCCCCCCTCCAAACCATATTTCCATTATAGGAATAGGTTTTACCCTTTTAACTGGCACAAAAACTGACACCTTTATTCAAGGCATCATGTTTGCAATGACCACAACACAAGCAGTCAAAATGCAAACAAAAAAGACAACTCTGATAATAATATTTCCATTTTGAAGATAAAACATGCTTCAAATCGCTTTAAACTATTGTCATTGTAGTGGTGCGTATTTAATGTGGCGCTGCACTCTGATGTTGTAGGAGTGTTGTTCTAACAATTAGTGTCGTTATAACAATTCTCTATTTATTTAAAGGTGCGAATTTTTATGTGACGTCACATTTCTCAACCCCCATCCCCCCCCCCTCTCGTCACAAATGTCTGACCCCCCCCCCCACCCAGGTGCGTGACGTCATTTATGGACGGCCCCTAACCTCGCTTTATGTGCGCACGTGGGGCTCTGCCAGGGATTGGAAGAGGCCTTTTTTAGGATGATGTTCCGACTTCCATGCCTCGCCGTTCTCATTGTTGTGGTAAGTGCGAGCTCGCGCGCCCACACGCAAGACAGCGCACTGAGTTCAAATCCTGGCTGGGTGAGCGTTGTGACTCAACCCACCAGCCATCTCTCCCGTGTTCTGTAGAGTGTGAGTGAGCGGGGTTTGTATGATCCCCCCCCCCCCCCCTGTTCTGTGGAGTGTGAATGAGTGGAGTTTGTATGATCTCCCCTGTTCTATAGAGTGAGTGGAGTTTGTATGATCTCCTCCTGTTCTGTAGAGTGAGTGGAGTTTGTATGATCTCCTCCTGTTCTGTAGTGTGAATGAGTGGAGTTTGTATGATCTCCCCTGTTCTATAGAGTGAGTGGAGTTTGTATGATCTCCTCCTGTTCTGTAGAGTGAGTGGAGTTTGTATGATCTCCTCCTGTTCTGTAGTGTGAATGAGTGGAGTTTGTATGATCCCCCCCTGTTATGTAGAGTGTGAGTGAGTGGAATTTGTATGATCTCCCCCTGTTCTGTGGAGTGTGAATGAGTGGAGTTCATATGATCTCCCCCTTTTCTATAGTGAGTGGAGTTTGTATAATCCCCCCCTGTTATGTAGAGTGTGAGTGAGTGGAGTTTGTATGATCTCCCCCTGTTCTATAGAGTGGGAGTGAGTGGAGTTTGTATGATCTCCCCTGTTCTATAGAGTGAGTGAGTGGAGTTTGTATGATCTCCTCCTGTTCTGTAGAGTGAGTGGAGTTTGTATGATCTCTCCCTGTTCTGTGGAGTGTGAATGAGTGGAGTTTGGGTGATCTCCCCCTGGTCTGTAGAGTGTGAGTGAGTGGGGTTTGTATGATCTCCCCCTGTTCTAAAGAGTGAGTGAGTGGAGTTTGTATGATCTCCTCCTGTTCTGTAGAGTGTGAGTGAGTGGAGTTTGTATGATTTCCCCTGTTCTGTAGAGTGAGTGAGTGGAGTTTGTGTGATCTCCCCCTGTTCTATAGAGTGAGTGGAGTTTGTATAATCCCCCCCTGTTATGTAGAGTGTGAGTGAGTGGAGTTTGTGTGATCTCCCCCTGTTCTGTGGAGTGTGAATGAGTGGAGTTTGAATGATCTCCCCCTGTTCTGTAGTGCGAGTGGAGTTTGTGTGATCTCCCCCTGTTCTATAGAGTGGGAGTGAGTGGAGTTTGTATGATCTCCCCCTGTTCTAAAGAGTGAGTGGAGTTTGTATGATCTCTCCCTGTTCTGTAGAGTGTGAGTGAGTGGAGTTTGTGTGATCTCCCCCTGTTCTGTGGAGTGTGAATGAGTGGAGTTTGAATGATCTCCCCCTGTTCTGTAGTGCGAGTGGAGTTTGTGTGATCTCCCCCTGTTCTATAGAGTGGGAGTGAGTGGAGTTTGAATGATCTCCCCCTGTTCTGTGGAGTGTGAGTGAGTGGAGTTTGTGTGATCTCCCCCTGTTCTGTAGTGCGAGTGAGTGGAGTTTGTATGATCTCCTCCTGTTCTATAGTGAGTGAGTGGAGTTTGTATGATCTCCTCCTGTTCTGTAGAGTGAGTGAGTGGAGTTTGTATGATCTCCCCCTGTTCTGTAGAGTGTGAATAAGTGGAGTTTGTATGATCTCCCCCTGTTATGTGGAGTGTGAATGAGTGGAGTTTGTATGATCTCCCCCTGTTCTGTAGTGAGAGTGAGTGAGTGGAGTTTGTATGATCTCTCCCTGTTCTGTGGAGTGTGAATAAGTGGAGTTTGTATGATCTCCCCCTGTTCTGTGGAGTGTGAATTAGTGGAGTTTGTATGATCTCCCCCTGTTCTGTAGAGTGTGAGTGAGTGGAGTTTGTATGATCTCCCCCTGTTCTAAAGAGTGAGTGGAGTTTGTATGATCTCCTCCTGTTCTGTAGAGTGAATGAGTGGAGTTTGTATGATCTCCCCCTGTTCTGTGGAGTGTGAATGAGTGGAGTTTGTATGATCTCCCCCTGTTCTGTGGAGTGTGAATGAGTGGAGTTTGTATGTTCCCTCCCTGTTCTGTAGAGTGTCGAGAAATTCCGCAGTGGGACTCTGGTGCTCCTGAGTTTTAAGCAGTGGGAGATTGGGCTCGCCGCTGCCCCCACTGAGTGGAGATCCGCGTGCGAGGTGTTTATTTGTACTTTTACGCGGGGAGGGGAAGGTGAGGGAGGAAGGACTGAGCCCTTCTCCCGTTCCGAGACGTCTGCCAAGTTGCAGGGTGTGCGGTGTTCCCGTTTGCCGCCGAATCTCGGAACGCGCGAGCGGCTCGGCGTTCGCTTTATTGAGAGATGCGTCGTAGTAGCAGCAGCGCCGTTGCTTTTGAAGCCGTTGTTACCGCAAGAAAACTGCAGCGCCACGACCGCCGCAACTCTACGATAGCCGGCGCCAAACTGTGCCGCACGCCCTCCCGCCCGTGGTTAAGCCTCGGTACCGATAAAGTTATTTTATTTCGGCTTTTTGGATGACGTACATGTACGTCATCGGAACGGGAAAGGGTTAAGGGAGTGGAGGGGGGCGGGAAGGAGAGAAGGGGGGCAGGAGGGATGGAAAAAGGAAAACGGATCACTTAGGAAGGAATAACTGTACACGCATTTGAACTTATAATAACAGGGTTTTTTCCCATTTTTCTGGCAACAAAACTGAAACCGTTTTACAAGGAATCATGTCGGCATTAACCACAATACTTGTGGTCAAAATGCAAACAAAAATAGAAAGCCGTCTCTGGTGTGGACCAATCAGTTTCAAGGACAATGCATATATTATCAGTGTTTTTTCTTTGCATTTTGACCACAAGTATTGTGGTTAATGCAGGCATGATTCCTCGTAAAAAGGTTTCAGTTTTGTTGCCAGAAATAAGGGGGAAACACCCTATTATTATATTTTGGTACTGGCAATGGAGGTCTAATGATGCATTTGAACTCATCAACTCGGCATGGAACCCCTTGAGCGGTGATTTGACTCCCGTGGTGCATCCCCGGTGCAGGTCGCCGTCTCGTCGAGGGCGGCCCACGGCGGCGTGTGCCCTCTAGGCATGTACACAGCCAGCTCCGGATTTTGCTGTCAAATGTGCCCTCCAGGTAAACCGAACGGACCATCAGACACGTGCGTCTCTGGCCACGGGTCGTGACGGGGTACTGCAAGGTCCCAGCGTGTGCGTCTGGTGCTCGCAGAGCTGCACTGGCTTCCAGTTTGCCGAACGAATGCATTGTCATAAGTTGGCACCCATGCACATCCATAGTGTATGTTGATTAACTGTGAATAAATAACCCAAGCAATAATATAGAGTAAAACCTTGGATTGCGAGTAACTTGGTCTGCGAGTGTTTTGCAAGACAAGCAACATTTTTTTTTATAAATATTAATTTGATAAACGAGCGAGGGTCTTGCAATACGAGCAGTGTACGTGTAGACGCTTTGTACTGCCAAGCGTCACGTGATCATACAACTGATTATACGAGTGCTTTGATATACGAGTGCTTTGGATTACAAACACGTTTCCGGAACGAATCATGCTCGCAATCCAAAGGTTTTACTGTATATCATTATAATGTATAATAATACATTAAACCCCACCCCCCTCCTCACCCCTGTGGCCTTCGCACCTGATTTGGCTCACAAGTAACGACATCACATTTACATCCCAGCTATTGAAGACCGAAACCGGAGACTTTCTCCACAACTGTCTCCTGATGAGGACGATTGTAGGTACCGGCGAAACGTCATCACGGTACTCGGATTGTAAATGTTGTTGTGCGTTTACTCTCCGACACACTCCCGGGGTGCTTAACTAGTAACTAATTGCCACGTTTTGTTTACGTGACAGGCCTGACGAATTGGCTGCGTCGGGTGGTGGCGGGTTTAACGACACAACATTAATATTTACGCGATCTAACCCAAGAAAAAAAAACATCAGTGCAAAATATTGGCCGCGAAAGCCCCCTGCTACGTGTTGGAAGGGGAAAAAAAAAATAGCCCTCGACTTTTGACGCCGCCACTTTTTGCCTTCGATTCGCAGGCGAATTCAAGGTCGGGGACTGCCGAGCCGAGGGGCAGTTCCCGATGTGCACCCTCTGTCACGTCGGCCACTTCATGGGCGTCCCCAATCGCGCCTCGCAATGCCGCAGGTGTAGCGAGTGCGGCGTCCGTGAGTCCCAACATGCCCACCACCTCTGCCAATGCTTCTAGCCTTGCTCGAACCGAGGGGTCGTTGTCCGGGAGATGGACTTTCGCCACGTCGCGGAGCCTCCCGTCTTCTGATGTCGCAAACGATTTGTTACTCGCTTTAATTTAATTCACTCTGTCTGTTGTTGTCGTTGTTGTCATATTCTTGGTTCTTTCGGTAAAGTAACGTAGAAGGGAAATAATTTCAGCACAAGCAATCATCATCAGGTGTGATGATGATTGCTTGAGTTGATGATTGCTTGTGGTGCAATTGAAACGTCGTGAGAATGATATTGTTTTGATTTTTATTATTTGATTATTTCCCTTCTACGTGACTTTACCAAAAGAACCAAGAATATGAATCCCTGCAGTCACGAAAGCTTTAAATCGAAAAAAAGTTGTTGTCGTTGTTATCGTTGTCGTAGTTGTATCCTCAAATCTTGTAACTCAATTTTAACCCACTTGTCAATGTGCAATCTTGGTATACTTATGTCATACTGATGACAATACTATATTCTATCATAAAAAATACATATTTTTAAACACTTTTTTAATGTTATGTTTCGGTCAACTGACGTTGCCTGTAATTGCCCACGGTCCCCTTACGTTGTGGCAAGCTTCGGGGTAACTTCCTGGAGTCGGGGAGTTCTTCGATCACTAGTACATTTCATAAAAACGTGTTTTTTTTAAAAGTTTAAAAAAAATATCACTTATTTCAAAGACACTTGCTCCATCCGTTTTAGCTTGCCACCTCACCCTGGGAGATCCCACCAAACCGGAAGTCGTTACACACCACGGCGGCATCCCGAACAGGTTATGCCTGTCGAAAAAAAAACCACACACTAAAAAACCTACAAACATTCTCCGTATAGCCTCCAACAGGCTGTTGGGGCAAGTGCTGTCAGCGAGTAGCAGCGATGAAGGCCGCCATAGCACAAGAAGGGGTGGCGTGGCCATGTATCCTTGTATGTTGAACTTCTATCGCTCCGCATATAGCCAAGACCCGGCACACACACACACAAGGCAAACACATGCACATCGCTGGCACCGCTTTGCGAACCGTCAAGTGGCTCTGTCCTTACAGACGAGGTTTCCGAGCCTTGCAATGCGACGCGGGACACTGTGTGCCATTGTAAGGAGGGCAGCCAGCGACCTGCACCTTCTCAGCACTGCGAACCTTCAGGTGAGTGCCCATAGCCACTGTGATGGTGCTGTGTGATGGTATACTTTGTGTGATGATGATGGTGATGCGGTGTGTGACGGTGCTGTTGTAGTTGGTCCGCCCTGTCTCTCTCCTACCGTAGTCGATCCTAACGAGGGGGACAGGTCGCCTAAATAGGCAACAATAGAAAATAATAAACTTCGGAGACAATGAGAAGGTACTACGCGTTGTGTTCTGTCCTCTGAGCACCAGGGGTTCGTGAAACGGCAAAACTTATCTTCGAAGGGTTCTTCCTGAAAGGCATTGACGCATCTGCAAGTGACCAGAAACACCCTCCACGTCTCTGCACGGAGTCCACCCACATTTCAATTATGATAACAGCCGCTTATATCGAATAACATTTAACATTCAAACATCTTCCCAAAACATCTGTGATACCTACTGAACGTCCTAGTTTCTCATAATACTTAAACGAAACAATACGTAATTAAATTTTGATTTAAAGCTTTCGTGACTGCAAGGATTAATCTTCTTTGGTTCTTTCGGTAAAGTCACGTAGAATGAGAATAAAATAATAAATTGATAAAATAACACAATAATATGATGTGTTATTTTATTAATTTATTATTTTATTCTCATTCTACGTGACTTTACCGAAAGAACCAAAGAAGATGAATACGTAATTATATAATTAATACATATTTCTTTTCACATCAAATGAAATTGACAATACGTAAATTACAGAAATCATACATTACCAACAATAAACATATAAAATAATAATTGCTTACATAATGTAACCTCCAAAAGCACCTATTCTGCTCATCCCATTCGCTCAACGTAAACATCAAGTCGGCCATTGTCTTGCCTTCTCAATGAACAGCGCAACGTGACACAAGAACACAGAACGTTATCAACTATTACAAAAACAACGTCTATTTTCATCACCGAAACACTTTCATCATCTTCTAACTCCGTCATATCTATTGATCCGAGTTGGATTGATCGAAATCAACAAGTTATTCACCCTCGTAATTCAATAACTCTGCACGAGCCGGACGCCATCTTAATGCTATTAGATTTCCCGCGCAAAATTGCAAACAAGCAAAATACAAATAAAAAAAATTAAGCGAACATCTTATACTTGCAATGGCGACCAAACACCCTCCATGTCACAACACAACACCGCGGCTCAATCCCTCTGTTGACGGGATTGAGCGCCAGTGTTCATATTCTCGACCCAATTATTTTCACGAGTTATTTTACGTACGGAAATCAACTTCAACGTCAAAGTCTTCATTGTGCACATCTTCATTACCACCGATCAACAGTCAGTTCACACTGCCAAGCTCTAGTCAGTCGATTTACATACAAGTGATATCAAATTCTTTGGGTCTTTCGGTAAAGTCACGTAGATAGGTTCAAACCATGAGGTGACGTCACTCCACAAAAAACCTATCTACGTGACTTTACCGAAAGACCCAAAGAATATCAATTCCCGCAGTCACGAAAGCTTCAAGTCAATATCAATTTAAAAGTTACGGAGTATTTGGAGCTAATGTAAGATGCAGCTCGCCAACACCAAGTCCGCCCAAATATAAAATGGGGGCAATACCGGCAGTGCACGTGGGGCTCAGGATCCTATCGTTGGTCACCATTGACTTTCTGACTATACACCTACTATAATTCACTATGTAACACGATTTTTGCTCCTGGCTATTAAGTGTTATTTTCTAATTGCTTATGCCTCAAAAGCATAGAAAATGGCTATTATTATTCCCTCACAAACTTTGCTTCTGTGACCAGGACTTTACGTGAAGGAATGACACAAATGCACACCACGTTTTGCCATTGAAAATAGGTAAATTTCAAAATATCACTGTCCTGGTCACAGAAGCAAAGTTTGTAGGGAATAATAGCCACTTTCTGTACTTTTGAGGCATAAGCAATTAGGAAATAACACTTACCACCCATTAGCAAAACTAATATATTGTTTATTTGTTACACATTGGCACCCAGGAATTTCTGTCCGTCCCGTGCGTGACGTCATTCCACATGAGGCCCACCCCCCGCATGACGTCAATCCACATGAGGCTCACCTCCCCTCATTAATATTCATGAGTGGGTGGATTTTTACACTAACGCAGAGGAAGGTCGAGCTGAATAAAATAATTTATTCCACAAAGTCGCTTCAAATATAAGGGTTTATTTTACCCAGCACAGTGCTACATCCGTGTGTGACGTCACTGCAAAAGAGCCCCCCCCCCCCCTTCATTAATATTCATGTCCGCGTGAAAATTTACACTAAAGCGAAGGTTGTGCACTCCACATACTGCACCCCTCCCCTCATTAATAATCATGAGCGGGTGACGTCACTCCACATGCCGCACCCCTCCACAATAACCATGAGGGGGTGACGTCACTCCACATGCCGCACCCCTCCCCAATAATCATTAGCGGGTGACGTCACTCCACATGGGGCAATCCCCTCCCCCTCATTATTAATCACGTGCTGAACAATTTTTCTATTGAAAATTTCAGATTTACTGCAATATACACCCGTCCTTGGACGGGCAAAAAAGAGGCTAGTACAATAATAACAACCGCACCTGGCTCTCCATAGCAATTAACAGAGTGCACAATTATACGTGCGATTAATCAAAGGGGAGGTCACACCGGCTCCACTGTGTTGCGATGACGCTGCGGTGATGGTGCTGCTGTGTGCGATGACGCTGTGCGTGTGTGATGATGACGCTGCTTGTGTGGTGATGACCCTGTGTGTGCGATGACGCTGTGTGTGCGATGACGCTGTGCGTGTGATGATGATGTGTGTGTGATGACGCAGCGATGATGGTGCCGTGTGTGATGACGCTGCAGTGTGATAGCGGGGTGTGTGATGACGCTGCGTGTGTGATGATGTGGTGTGTGTGATGATGTGTGTGTTATGACGCAGCGATGATGGTGCTGTGTGTGATGATCCTGCAGTGTGATAGCGGGGTGTGTGATGACGCTGTGCGTGTGATGATGATGTGTGTGTGATGACGCAGCGATGATGGTGCTGTGTGAGATGACGCTGCAGTGTGATAGCGGGGGGTGTGATGACGCTGCGTGTGTGATGATGTGGTGTGTGTGATGATGTGTGTGTTATGACGCAGCGATGATGGTGCTGTGTGTGATGATCCTGCAGTGTGATAGCGGGGTGTGTGATGACGCTGTGTGTGTGATGATGTGTGTGTATTGACGCAGCGATGATGGTGCTGTGTGAGATGACGCTGCAGTGTGATAGCGGGGTGTGTGATGACGCTGCGTGTGTGATGATGTGGTGTGTGTGATGATGTGTGTGTTATGACGCAGCGATGATGGTGCTGTGTGTGATGATCCTGCAGTGTGATAGCGGGGTGTGTGATGACGCTGTGCGTGTGATGATGATGTGTGTGTGATGACGCAGCGATGATGGTGCCGTGTGTGATGACGCTGCAGTGTGATAGCGGGGTGTGTGATGACGCTGCGTGTGTGATGATGTGGTGTGTGTGATGATGTGTGTGTTATGACGCAGCGATGATGGTGCTGTGTGTGATGATCCTGCAGTGTGATAGCGGGGTGTGTGATGACGCTGTGCGTGTGATGATGATGTGTGTGTGATGACGCAGCGATGATGGTGCTGTGTGAGATGACGCTGCAGTGTGATAGCGGGGGGTGTGATGACGCTGCGTGTGTGATGATGTGGTGTGTGTGATGATGTGTGTGTTATGACGCAGCGATGATGGTGCTGTGTGTGATGATCCTGCAGTGTGATAGCGGGGTGTGTGATGACGCTGTGTGTGTGATGATGTGTGTGTATTGACGCAGCGATGATGGTGCTGTGTGAGATGACGCTGCAGTGTGATAGCGGGGTGTGTGATGACGCTGCGTGTGTGATGATGTGGTGTGTGTGATGATGTGTGTGTTATGACGCAGCGATGATGGTGCTGTGTGTGATGATCCTGCAGTGTGATAGCGGGGTGTGTGATGACGCTGTGCGTGTGATGATGATGTGTGTGTAATGACGCAGCGATGATGGTGCTGTGTGAGATGACGCTGCAGTGTGATAGCGGGGTGTGTGATGACGCTGCGTGTGTGATGATGTGGTGTGTGTGATGATGTGTGTGTTATGACGCAGCGATGATGGTGCTGTGTGTGATGATCCTGCAGTGTGATAGCGGGGTGTGTGATGACGCTGTGCATGTGATGATGATGTGTGTGTGATGACGCAGCGATGATGGTGCTGTGTGTGATGACCCTGCAGTGTGATGACGCTGTGTGTGTGATGATGCTGTGTGTGATGATGATGTGTGTGTGATGACGCAGCGATGATGGTGCTGTGTGTGATGACGCTGCAGTGTGATAGCGGGGTGTGTGATGACGCTGTGTGTGCGATGATGCTGTGTGTGTGATGATGTGTGTGTGATGACGCAGCGATGATGGTGCTGTGTGTGATGATCCTGCAGTATGATAGCGGGGTGTGTGATGACGCTGTGCGTGTGATGATGATGTGTGTGTAATGACGCAGCGATGATGGTGCTGTGTGTGATGTCCCTGCAGTGTGATAGCGGGGTGTGTGATGACGCTGCATGTGTGATGATGTTGTGTGTGTGATGACGCAGCGATGATGGTGCTGCGTGTGATGACGCTGCAGTGTGATAGCGGGGTGTGTCATGACACTGTGCGTGTGATGATGATGTGTGTGTGATGACGCAGCGATGATGGTATTGCGTGTGATGACGCTGCAGTGTGATAGCGGGGGGTGTGATGACGCTGTGTGTGCGATGACGCTGTGTGTGTGATGATGTGTGTGTGATGACGCAGCGATGATGGTGCTGCGTGTGATGACGCTGCAGTGTGATAGCGGGGTGTGTGATGACGCTGCGTGTGTGATGATGTGGTGTGTGTGATGATGTTGTGTGTGTTATGACGCAGCGATGATGGTGCTGTGTGTGATGGGTTTTTTTGCGTGTGATGACGCTGCAGTGTGATAGTGGGGTGTGCGATGACGCTGCGTGTGTGATGATGTTGTGTGTGTGATGACGCAGCGTGCGATGACGCCGTGTGCGTGATGCTGCAGTGCGCGGATGTATTGAAAGTCGACCGCGCGCTCACTGTTCTGCGACAGGCCTGGCAGGGGGAACGGTTGTGGCCATCGTCTTGGGGATTCTGTTCCCTCTCGTCGCCTCGGTGGGAGCCGCCGTGTATTGTCACCGGAGGAGGCCGCGTCGTGCGGTCGATCGGGACGTGGAGTTTGCTGAGCCTCTCGTCGACGGTGCGTATCGTGGGGCGCCGCAGTGTCTAGGAGATGTTAAGTACCTCGCCCGGTATTCAGGAGGTCATGGGTTCGATCACGATCCTGACGATGCCTGTTGTACATTTGATCCTTGTGGCGGGACCCCGGGGTTCCCATCAGCCCCTGGCTTTCGCATAAACTGCGTTGCGACGTCATTTTATGTCTGTTGAAGGCGAACGATACGGCAATCTATTCCTCTCGACGAGCTCTACACAATGCGCTAATCAAAGTTTAATTTCTTCCGCGTCATATCGTCCTCGCTGCGCTTGGACGATATGACAACAGAATGATCCACGCCAGGTGGGTCGCGGCGTTTATGTGCACGGTGGGATGCAGTCACCAAAAATAAAGAAGTTAATTACGGTTTTGACTTCCGTTTATTCGGGACCCCGTGGAACCGCTATGAGGTTAAGTTGGAGTCTGCGTCTCTCTCTGTTTCTCTCCCCGTGGGCATGTGGAATTTTCTCCGGGTACCCCGGATTTCCCGTCCCCTGGTTTTCCCTTCACATTTATAATCAACGTGCATTCGGAGTATTTGGCTGCTGCTGTAAATTTCGACGTGAGAAGCCACTTCGTTGCGCTATCATTTGTGGCCAGTTCACTTCTGAAAACAGCTACATAGCTTAGTGGGCCTTATCTGGTAAAATAAAAAAATAGTTGATGGTTTTAATATCGAGTGTATGTGGCATGGAGGTGGGACGGTTCACGTCGAGGGGGCTAATGGACATATAACAATTAAACTTTTACCCATTTTGACGGCTGGGCAAGCGGTGGATGAGGCTTAACGGGGCTTCAAATGGTAGTGCAATTTGATCCGCTGTACATTCATACCCCCGCCCCTCCCTTTTCAGACAAGCCACTGCGGGAGTACCTCGACTACCTCCGGCACCACACCGCCAACATTTTGGACTACAACGCGCGGCCCGGCGAGGTGGTGCTGCTGAGCAACAGATTCGTGCAGCCCATCATCGTGGCCTACCACCGCGCCGACGAGAAACGCCAGCACGAGTTCATATCGCGCGGCAAGCGGCACGCGGACATCATCGCGGCCCTCAGAGAGGAGGGGTTCACCTTCGGCAAGCTCTTCCATCCCGTCGGCGAGGGGACAGAGCTGCCAAAACTTGTCGTCCTGGTCGGCGTTCCGGGCATCGGCAAGACTACCATGGCCCAGATGATTGTGAACAAACTGGCGTCTGGCGAGCGGCTCTTCCGCGCGGACTTCCGCGTCGTCGTCTACATTCAGTTCAGGGAGGTGAATGGATACCCCGACTCTCTGTCACTCCGGGACCTCTTCAGATTGCACCACAAGAGCCTGGGCAACGTTGCCGACCGGGTGTTCGCGAACCCTGAGAAGGTACTGCTGGTCCTGGACGGGCTCGACGAGTTCCAGAAGCCCCTGGACCTGGCGAATGCGTGCAGCGACCCGGACAAGACGGCGAGCAAGGAGGCCATCTTTGCCGGGCTGGTGACGAGGAAGATGCTCATGGGCGCGTCGATGCTGCTCACGACTCGGCCGATCGCTCTGGAGCGCCTGGGCGGAATCCAAGTGGACCGCTTTTCCGAAATCACTGGGTTTTCACGGCAAGAGATCAAGGACTACGTCGTCAAGTTGTCCGACAGCGAAGAGCAGGGGCAGAGACTGTACGACAACCTGGAGAGTTGTGAAAACCTTTTCCACTTTTGCTATATCCCCGCGTTTTGCCACATCGCCGGCAAGGTGGTCAAGTCGTACCTGGAACGGGAGCAGGTCGATGCCTCTGCAGGTTTTGCCGCGGCCACCACCATGACCGACCTCTTCTCCAAGTATCTGTACGTGCTCGTGGCCCATCACAGTCCCAACACCGACAACCTGGGGACGGCCGTAGGCTCGCTCGCCAACATGGCCTTCTGCGGCATAAAGGAGAACATCCAAATGTTCACGGACAAGGACCTGAAGCGTTTCGACATCGATCTCAATGCCGTGGAGATTCAGAAGGGCACGTTCCTGGGCGAAGTGTTCAAGAGCGAAGCTGTGAAGGCGGTGAAACTCTACACGTTTTTCCACCTGACGATCCAGGAGTACTTTGCGTCGCTTGCGGTCTACCTCTCGGACCGGAATACCGGACACAGCCCCACTGTCGCGGAAGTCATAGCGGCCATCGAGAACTGCGAGGACGGCCGCTACGACATCTTCCAGAGGTTCTTCGCCGGCCTGGCATCGCCGCACTCCTGGCAGATCCTCGAAGCTTGCCTGGGCTCGCCGAGGAACAGCTGCCAGCAGCAGATCATCGAGTGGCTCCGGCGCAGCGTGGCCAAACTCGCGGACCGCACGCAAGGTGCCAGCGTGCCCACGACAGTCAAGAACAGTCTCGTCAGTCTCCTGCACTGCCTCCACGAGCTGCACCACGACGACACCGTGCGCGGCATAATGGAGATGGTGGCGGAGGTGGACCTGTCTGGCGTGAGGCTGTCCCCGCCAGACTGTGCCGCTCTGTCGTACGTCCTGCAGAGTAAAGCCGGACCCCTGGAGCTCCTCAACCTGGAGGACTGCGGGATGACGGAGGAGGAGGTTAAACGACTGCAGCCCGCCCTCGCCTCCTGTAAAGTGGTCAGGTGCGTTATGGTTGTCGAGTGAGCGATGGTTATATAGTGTTGCCACCTCCAGTAGGGGCACGGGGTCAGAACGTTATAACAACAAACACAATACACACAAACACGATAGGGGTGCAAAGTATAGGAAAGGAAAACATAGCCCAAAAAAATACAAATGAAACTAAACTGTGTTTAATATTATATTCTTGGTTCTTTCGGTAAAGGAGGTTAAACGACTGCAGCCCGCCCTCGCCTCCTGTAAAGTGGTCAGGTGCGTTATGGTTGTCGAGTGAGCGATGGTTATATAGTGTTGCCACCTCCAGTAGGGGCACGGGGTCAGAACGTTATAACAACAAACACAATACACACAAACACGATAGGGGTGCAAAGTATAGGAAAGGAAAACATAGCCCAAAAAAATACAAATGAAACTAAACTGTGTTTAATATTATATTCTTGGTTCTTTCGGTAAAGGAGGTTAAACGACTGCAGCCCGCCCTCGCCTCCTGTAAAGTGGTCAGGTGCGTTATGGTTGTCGAGTGAGCGATGGTTATATAGTGTTGCCACCTCCAGTAGGGGCACGGGGTCAGAACGTTATAACAACAAACACAATACACACAAACACGATAGGGGTGCAAAGTATAGGAAAGGAAAACATAGCCCAAAAAAATACAAATAAAACTAAACTGTGTTTAATATTATATTCTTGGTTCTTTCGGTAAAGTGACGTAGAAGGGAAACAATAAAATAATAAAAATATAAAACAATAAAATTCTCACGACGTTTCGACTGCAACACAAGCAATCATCATCTGGTGTGAAAACCACAGCAAGAAAATTTGAAAAAAGTGGCGATTCTTTTTTAATGTTAGCACCACGGAGAGCGATTTGGCAGTTTGTTCAGATGGACGAGTCCATCTATGTTCGGAAAAGAGGAGGGGGGAGACGAAATTATCTTGCTGTAGTTTTCACACCTGATGATGATGATTGCTTGTGTTGCAGTCGAAACGTCGTGAGAATTTTATTGTTTTATATTTTTCTTATTTTATTGTTTCCCTGCTACGTGACTTTACCGAAAGAACCAAGAATATGAATCCCTGCGGTCACGAAAGCTTTAAATCAAAATTTATGTCTAATATTATCGGGTAAATCCCACAAAGGTATCAACTTATTTTTCGGAAGCTACTTGGCTATCACAAACGACGGTGCAACAGAGTGGTTTATGTGGAAATTTATAGCAGCAAAGTAATCTGAATAATGTAAATGCTCGTTTCTAAATGTGGAGGGAAAAACCGGAGGACTCGGAGAACAAATGCACGAACACATTCTCCTGCGGAGGGAGCTGGTAGTAACGTTGAGTTGCTCGGTCAATGGCCAGGGTCAACGGCGGCACGTGGTGCATTCCGTACAATATGCCCGACTGTGAGGGCAGGCACAAGCCGGCGTGAGTAGGTTAAACATTGAGTTTTATAAGGGCACCACGGGGTGACCAGCCACTCCCCACCCAGCCCCACCCCTCCCACCCCCCACCCCTCCCACCCTCCCCACCCAGCCCAGCCCCTCCCCACCCAGCCCCACCCCTCCCACTCCCCACCCAGCCCCACCTTCCCCACCCAGCCCCTCCCCACCCTCCTCACCCAGCCCCTCCCCACCCTTCCCTCTCCACCCAGCCCCACCCCTCCCATTTTATCCGGGTGTCTGGATACACGTGGACAGACATCCACAGACATACACAATTAATCCCCTGCCTCCTGTGAATTAATCCCGGTTGGGCTTCCAGTCCACTACGTTTCCTACCAGTATAAACAATTTCTATCTTACCCACTGAGCTATTAGTTTATTTTTCATAAGCGACTTTTCTATTCTTATTTATGTATTTTTTAAATTCAGGTTTCCTTATTTGCGTACCCTTTTTCTATGTTTTACTCGTATCGTGCGTTTATTGTGTTTGCTGTTGTAACTTGCTGACCCCGTGCCCCTACTGGACATCTGTGAGCAAGAACTTCATAGCTCATGCGATTCCCCTTGCAGTCTGAATAAAGATTCTGATTCTGAACGAGTCGGAAGTTTACAAGTTCGTCAGAAAATGGTGAAAAGAAGGATGTTGAACGCAGCTAGCGAGGAAGGACAGTTTAACACGTAGGCTTTCGCGACCAATATTATTCATATAAAGGTTTTTGGGTTAGATTACATAAGTATAAATGTGTCGTAACCCTCCACCACCCGACAGAGCCATTAAGGTTTGTCGCGTAAACAACGCGCCAATTAGTCACTACTTCAGCCCACAGGTGTGTCGGACAGTGAATCCACAACATTTACAATTTGAATACGACGTTTCGCTGATAATTACATCCAGCATCATTGGGCGATTTGCCAGAATAGTGAAGCAATCCACCTGCTTTCGGTCTTAACATGGTAAATGAAGATTTGAGCATTAAAGCTAGCGAGACACTTTAATTCTAGATTTTATAGCTTTCGTGACTGCAAGGATTCATACTCTTTGATTTTTTTCGGTAAAGTCACGTAGGTCAAATAAAATAAATGAAAATAACTAAATTAAATCACGACGTTTCGGAGGCAACACAAGCTTCTGTCTTCAGGTGGAATAGTCACAGCAAAATAGCTGTATCAAGTGAAGAGCTCTGAGACACCCGAGATTATATACAGGTTAAGGGGGGGGGTGGGAGCCAGGAAGGGACGTTGGTGGGGATAGGAGGGCTAAGTTAAGCCGCCTTTTGTTATGCTGCAGGGGGTTCGGGGGAAGTGATGGCGCGCTGCACAAAAGCGAGTACAACCACTGGTAGAAATGGAAATGGCTGTACAATTATAAGGCAGCTAAAGTTTGACTTGGTTGATGACATCTTTCCAATGGTTGCTCAATTTAGCAGGACACGTCATTTTCAAAGCGAAAAAGATAGACATGGAATTGGGACGGATGTCTAGCTGGACGGACGTCTAGCTGGTGGGCAGAGGGAAGGAGAGAGAGAGAGCGAGACAGAGAATGAGATAACGGGATGAGATTAGGATATTTATGGGAGTGCACTGGATGGATGTGGTAAGACATTGTGAAGTCGGGTGGAGTGCTAACAAAAGAAAGCTGTTCAATTGGCTTTGTTTTAATTTAGTTGGATGTTATTCCATCTGAGGGCAGAGTGTTTGTTTTGATTTAGGGAGCCACGGTGGCGAAATGTTAACTACCTCGCTTGGTATGCAGGATGTCGTGGGTTCGATTCCGACCCTGACACCTGCTGTATATTTGGAGTTTGCATGTGCTATCTCCCCGTGGTGGCGTGGATTTTTCTCCGGGTCCTCCGGTTTCCCCCTCCACATTTAGAATCAACATCACCACGCGTTTCAGAGTGTTTGGCTGCTGCTATAAATTTCCACACGACGACGATGATGATAATAAGCCACTTCGTTGAGCCATCATTTGCGGCAACCAGGTCGCTTCTGAAAAAGAACCGTATAAGTCAGTGGTGGGCCTTAGCTGGTAACGATGAAAAAAAAATAGTTTAGCGTTTTTAGTTTACAACGTGAAATCGTAGTTGTTGCTATGCATCTACATCAGCCTACGTGACCTTACCGAAAGAACCAAAGAGTATGGATTTCTGCAGTCACGAAAGCTTCAAATCAAGATAGAAAGAAATGAGACTGACAGGTGGCGCCGTTGGGAGGCAGCTATCATGCCCCACCGTCAGTGATTAAGATTTTGTTCCACCGCTCGTTACACCTAAACGGGTCCGGCCACCTTGTTTTTGGAGCTTAATTCAACCTCGAAAAGGACAGCCTGGGACTCGCAGCCTACAGCTAGGTGACTCTTGCAATTGAGACTCCCCCTAACCTGGTCGCTCAACAGTTCCATTCTACGTGACTTTACCGAAAGAACCAAGAATATAGTTCTCACCTGGTCGCACAGAATCAACTTGAAGCTACATCAGAGATGGGGAAACCGTCGTTCTTACCGAGAGCCGAACAATTGATTTACAACATTCAAATTAGCGGGCGACCACAAAATTAACACCTTCTCCCCGGCCACATCTCTTGCGGCAACAGGGCACTTGGCAGTGGCAGAAGCGACCCGAGTGCACGCAAACCGATTTAGAAGCGGAGCGTTGTTGTTGCCCGGTGGAAAACGTTCCCCCTCCAGGACCAGATGTGGTGAAGCTAAGATGGCTCGTACTGAAGGATGCAGGCCGTCTCAAAGTGGCAGGCCGTATGAAATGTATGTACTAAAGACAGGCTGTCTCAGGTGTAGGCATGGTCACCGCAAGTACCGTGTGTGGTTAATGCAGTAACTTGATTTCTTGCAAAAGATTTCTATTGGGTGTTTGAACATCTTAACTCCTGCTGTCTTATTGCCAGAAAGGGCAAAAGCTATTCTTGTTTTTTCATACTTTTGTACTGGCAAAAGTCCCATTTTACAATCTTGTGTTGTTGATATAAGAACCTAGTAGAAGTCCTACGGACATCACCCCATGCAGAGAGACCTCGAGATTGGAATGGCAAGTACGGTGTCATAAAACACAGGTTACTTTTTACAGTAGGATATATATTTTTGGTCTCTTTATGTTTATTTATGCAAATTTTACACGCTGGAATTTTTACACACCGCTGTTTTATTGCCAGAAAGGGTCAACGCATATTCTCATCGTTTCATAAATGAACTTTAGGTCCTATTTTGGACCACAGATTGCAGATTCCCTTTCCCCCATGATCTACGCACTGACGCCCGCTTTGTGCATCGTTTTCAAGGTGCGGAGGCAATGACCTGAATGACGCTGGCGTCGCGCTGCTGCTGAACAAAGATGCAAAGCAAAGCCATCTGGAAGAGCTGCAGTGAGAACGCTGTCCACGCCGACTCCTTACTCCACCACTGTCGCTCTGTTCATCCTCATTGATAACGATGCACACACACGTGGTGTACACCATCGGTTTCTCTTCCGATTCCGTTCCGATGACGTACATGTACATTATTCCATTGCGATGACGTACGCGTACATTATTCTATTGCGATGACGTACGTGTTTTATCTGGGGGCATCCCTCCTCCCCCCCCCCGTGCCCCCTTATTTATACCGAATAATCGAAAGCCGACTTTGTCTATTCTCCCGTTTCTTTTGTCCCCACGCAGCCTGTGGAGGTGTTCGTTGAAGGAAAGCTCTGGCGCCATCATCCGAGACATAGTCACGCACATCCGGAGCCTGAAGACGCTGGTGTAAGTGCTGCCAGGATCAGAAGCTGTATTTTATACTGTGGGGGGAATCTGATAAGCCCTTCTTCACAGATGTCCAGTCAGGACGTTACAACAACATCAAACACAATACACAAAACACGATAGGAGTGCAAAGCATGGGAAACGTAAACAAATCGTTTACGGAAATATACAAATAAAACGAAACTATATATTTTTTTCCTACCAGGTAAAGCCCACCGGTTTATAAACTTCACTTCAGTGGGCTTTTTCAGAAGCGACCTGGCCATCGCAATTGATAGCTCAACAAAGTGGCTTACCATGTGGACATTTTATAGCAGCAAAATAATCTGAACGCATGTCGATTCTAAATGCGGAGGGAAAATCCGGAGGACCCGGAGGGAAATAATCCACATGACCGCTGGGAGAGAGACACCGCAAACGCCAAATATACAGCAGGCATCGGGGTCGGGATCGAACCTACCAGCCCCGGCGTACCAGGTGAGGTAGTTAACATCTCCTAACCATGGTGACTCAGCAGCAGAAAGGCCAGACTTACAGCCGCGGTGGCTAGGAGGTCGTTGGTTGGATTCCGACCCAGACGCTTGGTGCTGTATATATTGGAGTTTGCTGTGTCTCTCTATCCCCTTGGTCGCGTGGAATTTTTTTTCTCCCCGGGTCCTCCGGTTGATCCCTCCACATTTAGAAGCAACGTCACGCGTTTGGAGTATTTGACTGTTCTAGTTTTCGACGTGATAAGCCACTTCGTTGAGCTATCATTTGTGATGGCCAGGTCGCGTCTGAAAAATAGCTACATAGCTCAGTGGGCCTTACCTGGCAACAATAAAAAAGAAAATTGGTAAGTCGTTTACTTTCATTTCTGGAGGGAGGTCGTTTCTGCTCGAGTTAAAACCGGCCCTGGTACAGCCTGAATGCAAATGGTGCTTTGGGTGACACAAAGAACGTTGCCTGCCCTTGAAAGTGATACGGGAGCACATCAACCCAATAATCCGCAACCTCCACTCGCTTCCCCAATCCATTGCCGGGATCCGTTGCAACAATTGATCAGGTCCTCTATGGACTCAGCGCTGCCTACCTCTCCCCTCTCGTCTCCCCATCTCGGTTGCATCAATCAACGAAATCTATCGTCACAAAAACAAATCAAGAAAATTGTCATTTGTGTGGTATCCCACACCTCCACTCTGTACTGCGTTTAATGATTAATGACACGAGCCATAAATGGACTGAACCACAAATGGACTGAACGGCAAAATGCACTGAACCACAAATGGACTGAACCACAAATGGACTGAACGACGAATCCACTGAACCACAAATGGACTAAACCACAAATGGACTGAACGACAAATCCACTGAACCACAAATGGACTGAACCACAAATGGACTGAACCACAAATGGACTGAACGACAAATCCACTGAACCACAAATGGACTGAACCACAAATGGACTGAACCACAAATGGACTGAACGACAAATCCACTGAACCACAAATGGACTGAACCACAAATGGACTGAACCACAAATGGACTGAACCACAAATGGACTGAACGACAAATCCACTGAACCACAAATGGACTGAACCACAAATGGACTGAACCACAAATGGACTGAACGACAAATCCACTGAACCACAAATGGACTGAACCACAAATGGACTGAACCACAAATGGACTGAACCACAAATGCACTGAACCACAAATGGACTGAGCCACAAATTCACTGAACCACAAATGGACTGAACCATAATTGGACTGAACCACAATTGGACTGAACCACAAATGGACTGAACCACAAATGCACTGAACCACAAATGGACTGACCCACAAATGGACTAAACCACAAATGGACTGCGCCTGCAGTTACTTGTCTGTGTTTACCCCGTCCCTGTGTGGTGCCAGCCTCAACGAGAATGAGATCGGAGATGGAGGCGCCAAGGCATTGGCCGAGGCGTTGAAGGAGAGACGCGGCGGCTGCTTGGAAGTACTGAGGTCAGTGGCGGTGTAACGAGCGGCGTGGTGACCAGAGCTACGAGTTGGGGCCCCATTTGACACCCACCATGAGATTTGTTTTCAACAGCAGCGTGTCAAAGAACACACGGATGAACACTGATTTAAAACGCAGTTACATTATTTTTTTAAACGAAAATGCGTTCATTTTACGCACCACGCTTTCATCTGATTGACCTAGAGTCGGTCAACGTAATATCGCAACTGCTTAACTACCACGGACTTGCAGTTGGCTGCATATTCTGCGAAGACGGAGCGCTACCTACGGCATTGGACGCTTCGCCACCGCGTGAGCGTAACGACGGCGATGCGAGTAAGGTGGCGAGAGAGGGCGGCGGCCGCGATGTAGAAGAAAATATCCTCTCCGTGCGACCATGCGAAGAGACGAATCACAACTTTTGTGGGGGGGGGGCACCTGACCGATTGCCGCATTGCCACCCCCCCGAGCCGATAACGTAGTCGCTGCGCCGCTGGTTCGGGTGACAGCGGCGACAACAAAAGCGCAGGAGGAGAGGTGGTCGGGGAGGACCTGGGATGAAGCAACCTAGGGATCCCACGAACAACGACAACCTAAAACTAATTGTTATTCGACCAGCTAAGGCCCCGCTGAGCTGCTGCTGCCAATGCTCTTCTTTCAGAAGCGACGCAGGCTATCACAAATGAGAGCTGAATGAAGTGGCTTATCATCGTCGTCGTCGTGTGCAAATTTACAGCAGCCAATTGCTCTGAATGCACGTTGATTATAAATGCGAAGGGAAAAACCTGAGGGCCTGGAGAAAAATCCACGCAACCACGGGGAGAGGCAGAACATGCAAACTCCAAATACAGCAGGCGTCAGGGTCGGGATCGAACCCACGGCCTCCTGTATACCAGGCGAGGTAGTTAACATCTCCTAGCCACCGTGGCACCCCCTTATCTCTAGAGTTGCTAACCCTCCTGGATTGTCCGGGAGTCTCTTAACGCAATTTGCATCGATCTCCTCCTGTTGACTCAAAACAATCCGGGAGATTTTAGCGAAAGCATATTTACGAAAATAAATAAACAAAAATGTCTCCCGTAATAGCTTCGGTCAAAGTTGGCAACCCTCCCTTCCACATTTAGAAACATGCTTTTAGAGTCTTTGGCTGCTACAAATTTCCACGTGATGATGATAAGCCACTTCGTTGAGCTATCATTTGTGGCCAGGTCACTTCTGAAAGAAGAGCTACACAGCAGCTCAGTCGGCTTTAGCTGGCAATTTTTTATTTATTAATAGTTTTAACATCGAGTATACGTGGTACGGACGTGGGACGGTTCACGTCGAGGGGCTATGGACCTGTAACAATTACACTTTTAACCATTTTGGCGGTTGGGCGAGCAGTGAATGAGGCTTAACGGGACGTCGAATAGTCGCGCAATTTGATCCGCTGTACATCCACACCCTCGCCCCTCCACCCCCCCCCCCCACACACATTCGATTCACGCGGTTGGCTACGAAACGGCGCGAAAAAGAAGTCACACGTAGCATACGCTCCGTACATACGTAGCAGGTTTCCATCCAATTGAATGCGAATTCAGTAATATTCTCGCCGTGTTGTGCTCCCCCCTTTTGCGTTCCAGGCTCGAATGCTGCTCCCTGACGGAGGTGTCGGGGTCGTCGCTCCGTGACATCGTACGCGTCTGCGAGCGCTTGAGAGTGCTCGGGTAAGTGCTCTGAGCTCGCCGTGAATGAATCGCGGTACCTCGAGAACCTCGTCAAGGAGCTATGAACCACTGTCACGCGAATTCCGGTCGTCAAATCGTCGCAGCGGCGGCTTCTCGTTCGGCCGTCGAACGAAGACGGTCGCCGCATTGCCGCGTGGCGCTTTTAGATGCGCTGCTTCTGCGGCCGTCTGGAACGCTCTTCCTTCCGATATTAAGAAGCCGCTGGAGTGATGTGTGCTTACAGTGAGGTAAAAAAGTATTTGATCCCTGCTGATTTTGTACGTTTGCCCACTGACAAAGAAATGATCAGTCTGTAAATTTTAATGGTAGGTTTATTTGAACAGTGAGAGACAGAATAACAACAACAAAAATCCAGAAAAACGTATGTCAAAAATGTTATAAATTGATTTGCATTTTAATGAGGGAAATAAGTATTTGACCCCCTCTCAATCATAAAGATTTCTGGCTCCCAGGTGTCTTTTATACAGGTAACGAGCTGAGATTATGAGCACACTCTTAAAGGGAGTGCTCCTAATCTCAGCTTGTTACCTGTATAAAAGACACCTGTCCACAGAAGCAATCAATCAATCAGATTCCAAACTCTGCACCATGGCCAAGGCCAAAGAGCTCTCCAAGGATGTCAGGGACAAGATTGTAGACCTACACAAGGCTGGAATGGGCTACAAGACCAATGCCAAGCAGCTTGGTGAGAAGGTGACAACAGTTGGTGCGATTATTCGCAAATGGAAGAAACACAAAAGAACTGTCAATCTCCCTCGGTCTGGGGCTCCATGCAAGATCTCACCTCGTGGAGTTGCAATGATCATGAGAACGGTGAGGAAGCAGCCCAGAACTACACGGGAGGATATTGTCATTGATCTCAAGGCAGCTGGGACCATAGTCACCAAGAAAATAATTGGTAACACACTACGCTGTGAAGGACTGAAATCCTGTAGCGCCCGCAAGGTCCCCCTGCTCAAGAAAGCACATATACATGCCCTTCTGAAGTTTGCCAATGAACATCTGAATGATTCAGAGGACAACTGGGTGAAAGTGTTGTGGTCAGATGAGACCAAAATGGAGCTCTTTGGCATCAACTCAACGTGCCGTGTTTGGAGGAGGAGGAATGCTGCCTATGACCCCAAGAACACCATCCCCACCGTCAAACATGGAAGTGGAAACATTATGCTTTGGGGGTGTTTTTCTGCTAAGGGGACAGGACAACTTCACCGCATCAATGGGACGATGGACGGGGCCATGTACCGTCAAATCTTGGGTGAGAACCTCCTTCCCTCAGCCAGGGCATTGAAAATGGGTCGTGGGTGGGAATTCAAGCATGACAATGACCCAAAACACACGGCCAAGGCAACAAAGGAGTGGCTCAAGAAGAAGCACATTGAGGTCCTGGAGTAGCCTAGCCAGTCTCCAGACCTTAATCCCATAGAAAATCTGTGGAAGGAGCTGAAGGTTCGAGTTGCCAAACGTCAGCCCCGAAACATGAATGACTTGGAGAAGATCTGCAAAGAGGAGTGGGACAAAATCCCTCCTGAGATGTGTGCAAACCTGGTGGCCGACTACAAGAAACGTCTGACCTCTGTGATTGCCAACAAGGGTTTTGCCACCAAGTACTAAGTCATGTTTTGCAGAGGGGTCAAATACACATTTCCCGCATTAAAATGCAAATCAATTTATAACATTTTTGCCATGCGTTTTTCTGCATTTTGTTGTTATTCTGTCTTTCATTGTTCAAATAAACCTACCATTAAAATTATAGACTGATCATTTCTTTGTCAGTGGGCAAACGTACAAAATCAGCAGGGGATCAAATACTTTTTTCCCTCACTTTACATCTAGACTGAAAACTCATTTCTTTAAAAACTGCTTTTTTGCATTTAATTTGTCCTTTCCCCACACCTCCAATTAGCACGGATGGCTACGTGCGGTGCGAAAGACGTTCAACGTATAGTCGCGATGCTTCTCCAATTGCCACTGCTCTCTCCATCTCTGTCACACCAATGCAGGCTGGAAGACAACGAGCTTGGAGACCACGGAGTGACGGTCTTAGCGGAGGGCATCAAACAAGGAGGAGGAGGCCAGAGCTTAGAGGAGTTGCTGTGAGTTGCTAACCCTTTATCATTCTGAGATGTCTGCAAGCTGGCAGGGTGGGTGTCCCCGTTCACCGCTGAATCTCGGAACGCGCGAGTGGCTCGGCGTTCGATTTTTTTTAGAGAGGCGTAGCGCCGCTGTTTTTCAGGGCGTCGTTACTCACCGCAAAGAAGTGTCGCAACGCGACCGCCGCCACTATACGACAGCCGGCGCCAAAACTGTGCCGCACGCCCTCTCGGCATGGCCTCGGTCGTGATAAAGTTATTTTAGTTTCGTGTTCCCTCTGATACCGTACACGTATGTCATCGGAACAAAATTGTAAGAAGTGACGTACGCGTATGTCCTCGGAACGGGAAAAGGCAAACATTCAACATGTCTCACATCACTGGGGCATAAACGTTGCTGATCCAGTGCCGTATAAGGATTGATTTCGGAATCAAGGTCACCAAAATCACGTGGAAAATTGATAAAACGTGCAAATCACGTGTTTGATTGCTGCGGTCAAAAACGAGGTTTTGTAACTTGGAAGTTCCCCGATTGTGACCCAAACGGTAATTTCAAATGGTTAAGGTTAACAAAGTGGTCAGTGGATGGTGGCATGGACGCAGAAAATTAACATGTAGCATAGTATTGACAAGGCGCGATCATTGCAAATCGCTACCCCTACGGGACGTCTGGAAAGAAACATTCGCAAGCTGTAGCGTGCACAAAACTCTCTGGCATGTGTCGTGATGGGGTTACTGCAAGATCCGACCGTGTCTGTCCAGCGCTCACCGAGCTGCATTGGCTCCCGGTTGCTGAGCAAATACAAAGTAAGGTAAGCGCTCATTACACACAAAGTGCTTGCCAAAAATGAACCACAATATCTTGCTGATCTCGTCAAGGAGCATAAAGCATCGTGCGAATTCTGGTCAACCTCTCAGCATCGGCTTTTGGATGGCCATCGAACAAAGACGGTGGTCACCGCATCGCGCTGCGCTTTCAGATGCTGCTTCTGCGACCGTCTGGAACGCTTTTCCTTCTGATATTAGAAAGCCACTGGGAGCTATGCACTTTTATATTATCATCATCGACATTAATTTCTGTAGAACTGCTTTTTGTGTTTGGTTTGTTGTCCTTCACCCCCCGCGCCTCCGATTAGCACAGTTGGCTACGAACGGCGTGAAAGAAGTTCAACATACGTAGGTTTCGGACAAGCCATGAGGGACACATACTTGTAGATGACATCTGCGGTTGTCCGTCATGTAGAATATGACACAAGTGTAATGATAATAGAGCCTGCATGCGGTGTGAGGGGACTAGTGGCCACGGGAGGTAATGACAGGGGTATCAGCTGTGCGTACGAAGGGACTAGTGGCCATGGAAGGTAATGACAGGAGTATCAGCTGTGCGTACGAAGGGACTAGTGGCCACGGAAGGTAATGACAGGGGTATCAGTTGTGCGTACGAAGGGACTAGTGGCCACGGAAGGTAATGACAGGGGTATCAGTTGTGAGTACGAAGGGACTGGTGGCTACCGGAATGTTCCAGAAGGGAGTGTGGTCAGGTGACAGAAGAAGACGATAGAGTCTGCCGGTGGTGCGAGCATTCAGAGTCAGTGAGAATGATCGAGAAGGGAGGCGTGGCCTCGGTCGGTATATAAGGGGGAGATGCGCGGGAGACTCGGGGCTGTTGCGGTGGGATCTCCGTCTGATGTCAAGTGAACGTCTTCAATAAAGTGAAATCTTAAGAGACGTGTGTCAAGTCGTCATTACACAAGTTTAAAGCTTTGGCGATGAGACGTAAACCGCCTTAACTTTGCAGTCGCTTGCCGTGTCCACGTTGGAGACACGGGCAACATTGATGTGTGTATTAACACCCTATTTTGTTTTCCCTCTGCCAAGTCTGGCCCGATGTTCACTGACGGACGAGTCGGCGCCAGCGCTGCGTGACATCATAACCGCCGCCAGCGGTCTTAAAAAGCTAATGTGAGTCTTATATTACACAAAATGCACCAGATCACCGATTTTTGCAGTATATAATGTATTGTAAACGCTCTAGAAAGCCGTCATGCAGTATACTGTGTAATGCACATTAAATGGCACTCGGATACGAGTGTGTAGTATATAGTGTAAGTTACCTGCAATACTCTTTGGTTCTTTCGGTAAAGTCACGTAGAAATTAAAAATAAAATAAATAATAGCACACGACGTTTCGATTGCAACACAAGCAACCGCAATCAGGTGAGAACTGTACGTAAATGCAAGCTCGAAGAGAGACACGTATAGAGAGAAAGAGAGAGAGACAAACACAGACACGAAGAGAGACACATACAGAGAGAGAGAGACACACAGAGAGAGACAAACACAGAGAGAGACATACAGACACACAGAGAAACAACGCCTCTGTGATGAGGTATTATATAGAGAGGGCGGGGCAGAGAAATTAGCGCGTCAATGAGAGACAAAGGGGGGATGGGATCTGCAGCAGGGGGCATGTAGAGCCAGGGGGGGATGGGATATGCGGCAAGAGTAATTCCTGCAGTCACGAAAGCTTCAAATCAAGATGATCTGCAATAGAATACCACTATATAGTGTCTTATACCGCTATATAATGTTATTACACCTGAATTTCGTGATTTAGTATATCTTTCGATTTAAAGCTTTCGTGACTGCAATGATTCATCTTCTTTGGTTCTTTCGGTAAAGTCACGTAGAATGAGAATAAAATAATAAATTGATAAAATAAAATAACACAATAATATTCTCACGACGTTTCGGCCACAACACAAGCGGCCTTCATCAGGTGAAGGGACGAGACTGTCTGGTGGGACAGCGCTGTCCTACCAGACAGTCTCGTCCCTTCACCTGATGAAGGCCGCTTGTGTTGTGGCCGAAACGTCGTGAGAATATTATTGTGTTATTTTATTTGATCAATTTATTAGTATATCTTCTGCACCTTCACATGCACAGCCCGTTAATCAGTCGTATATTCATTATTGAATAAAGTCCGCCGACTCACTGATCACTTAACGAGTAACCGTGAGTGACTGTATACACTTGGGTAACTTAGATAGCTCTATTCTGAGACAACATAACTCTAGCCTTCCAAGACTACAAGGTGTTCACTCCAGGATGATGAGGACGACCCGCTCCAAGGTGACGATGGTGACTGCCGTTCCCCGACGACAGCAGCCCAGAGCCCCGGTTCACGCCGGCTTTTATCCCCCTCACGACCCGGCCACCCCCCTATTCCTGAACCCTCCCTCACCGCACCTGGCCCTGTATGTCTCTGCCCTTATTACAATTTACGACCGTTAGGTTCCCGTGCTTCCCCTCACCCGACCCATTCAACGCTTGTCGCATTAATCATTATTAGCGACCACTTAGGTCCCACATTGCCCCAACGTGACCCTGTCTGTTCCCGTTACGTGAACTAGTAACCATCGCCACGGGGAGCCGTACTGTCCCTACATCACCCCGTACTGTCCTTACACGTGTAAGGGAAAGGGTTAATAACAGACTATTATGATTACTACGCTGGTCAGTGCGGGTTGGTGAGAGTCTGGGGGAGTTAGTTGCAGCACTGTGTTATGTTAGAAATGCACGTTGATTCTAAATGTGGAGGGAAAAACCGGAGGACCCGGAGAAAAATCCGCGTGACTACGGGGAGGGAGACACGCAAACTCCAAATATACAGCAGGCGTCAGGATCAGGATCGAACCCAGGACGACCTGTATACCAGGCGAGGTAGTTAACATCTCCATTCCACCGTGATGATGAGAGAGACGCGGACTCCAAGTATATAACAGCTGTCCGGGGTCGATGATCGAACCCACGACCTCCTGTATACCAGGCGAAGTAGTTAACATCTCCTAGCCACCGCGGTACCAAATTAAAATCACTCTCCAAAGCTGCCCCCCCCCGCCCACCAACACTGCCACCTGCGACGTAAGCCGCAATCCCCCGACGCTACGGGCTCGGAGCCCGCCGCAAGTGACTCCCCCGCGCACGTTCAACGGGCGCTGGCCGCTCTCTCCACAGGCTGGGCGACAACAATTTTGGCGAGGCAGCGAAGCGGAGCCTCGCGTCGGCGCGGTCGGATATCCTCGTCGACTTCGAGGACTGACGGCGGAGCCTCAGAGCCGGGCCTCCTCGTCCCACCCCCCCCCACCCCTCCAACCGCCGCCACCTGCGAGTCGCCGTCCTTTAGTTTGTTCGTTCGTACGGCCGATGTAGACGCGGAGTGGCGACTGCAATTTCACATTCTCAACTTAAAAAATAAAATACACTTTTTGGATTAGTTTAACAACGTAGTGGGCTTTTCGCGAGCGATATCATCCATAATAACAGGGTTTTTTTCTGGGTTACATCACGCGAATATATAAATGTTGCGTTGTTAAACCCGCCACCACCCGACACAGACAATTAGTAAGGTTTGTGTCACGTAAACAGAACCAATTCGTTACTAGTACAGCACTAGTGTATAGTGTAGTGTATAGTAGTGTATCGTGTAGTGTATAGTGTAGTGTATAGTAGTGTATCGTGTAGTGTATAGTGTAGTACATAGTGTAGTGTATAGTAGTGTATCGTGTAGTGTATAGTGTAGTATATAGTGTAGTGTATAGTGTAGTGTATAGTAGTGTATAGTGTAGTGTAGTATAGTGTAGTATAGTGTATAGCGTAGTGTATAGTAGTGTATAGTGTAGTGTATAATGTGGTGTATAGTGGAGTGTATAGTAGTGTAGTGTATAGTGTAGTATGCTAGTACAGCGACCACCGGTTGTGTGTTGGAGAGCAAAGCCACAACATTTACAATCTGAGTACGACGTTTCGCCAGCAATTACAACCAGCGTCATAAGGCGACGGCCAGATTTGTGGAGAAATCCTCCTATTACGTCCCTTAAATAGAGGGGTAGGTGCGATGACAACACTTGTGCACTCTTCTTGCGCGAAGTGGTGGTGGGAGGGGAGATTAATGAGTGCATATAAATGACCATTGATCTGGCACTAATAAGGAGTTGACAGATATACGTGGCTAACGGGACGTGGCGAATTTTAGATTTGACGCTTCGGCGGCGTGCGAGCACCCCTGTGGAGTGGTGGGGTCATGGGGTCGTGGGGTCGTGACTCACTGCGTGTTCTATCGATGCCCGGCTCAGTTCATCTGGTGGCCGTCTGGAAAATGTCTCGTTTTTAAAAAAAAATATATCGAATTACTTTCCGCGGTTCAGAGCGTAACAAGCCAACGGGTATTGATGTACGATTTTTACGTAATTCTTTTTTTATGTTACATTAATCTGTTCATGCAGTCGATCAGACTGCTATGTTAAGTATCTAAAATGTGTAAAGAAATATTTTCTTGAATGTGTAAACATTTTATTTAAAAAATATACATTTTTTTGCTTTGTCAAAATTTCATTTTTTACGTGTAAAAATGATACATTTTCACGTAAAAAATATATATTTAAAATGAAAATTTTAAACGTTTCAAAATGCCATTTTTTTTATGTGTACAAATGTAATATGTTAAACGTGTACAAATGTAATGTTACATGTGTATAAATTGCATTTTTTAACGTGTAAAAATATATATATAAATGCTTATTAAGCAATGTTATGCTCATGTCCGATTTGATCACAGCACGCGATTCGATGTATTCAGACGTCCTACTTATACTGGTAGGAACGAAGTTGTAAACTGAGTGTACCAGCCTGCAATAGATGAATGTGTCCGTCCGTCCCCTTTCAATACTTTAACGAAGTGAAATCTCGTGCTGTTGGGTGTAAAATCAGCAATAGACAGCGCAGAGACTTGTCCTACCAGCCCACCCTGCAGGGACCTGTTATCTATCTAAAAAACTTGGTCAGATCTTGGTATTCGCCTTCATTCAGTGAATGTTCACCGACCGCAGACACACACACACAGAGCGAGATACGAGCAGAGACCTCTGCGTCAATCAAATATTTCATACTCTTTGGTTCTTTCGGTAAAGTCACGTAGGTAGGTAGAAAAATAAAATAAATCACGACGTTTCGGGCGCTAATCCATGTCCCGGGGTCACCTGGTCAATTCATCTCCCAGGGCCACCTGGTTAAATCACGCGTAGGGGCCACCAGGTTAATCGAAAGTCCATTCGAACATTGAAGAAATCGATTCAGATTCCAAAACCGCCCCACTCTCCCCTCCATTAAACTTTTACTGCAATACTTGGGGGGGGGGGGGGGTCTTGTTGCAGAATGTATCATGTCCGTTTGAAGACCATGGCCTGCATCAGCAGCAGGCCACGCTTTCCCACCTGATGACGGACGCTTGTGTTGCGCCCGAAACGTCGTGATTTATTTTATTATTCTTTTACCTACCTAGATACGTGACTTTACCGAAATGACCAAAGAGTATGGATTCCTGCTAGTCACGGAAGCTTCAAATCAAGATCAAATATTTTTTTACCTACGTGACTTTACCCAATAGGACCAAAGAGTAAAGATCACGGACACCCCAGACGCAACAACAATAAACAAACCCCCGCCACAGCGCTAGAGGGACATGGCACTTGTGGCTCACGCCGATGGCTCTGTACGCAAATCCAGAGCGGGGCTGAACGATTTGGGGAAAATATCAAATTGCGATTTTTTCTGGCAGATATTGCGATTTGATGTGCGATTACAATTTTTTGAAAGTCAAGCTTCAGTTCGATATTTACTGCGTAATAGATTTGAAACACGTGATGGAGCGTTACCACGTGATACCATCAAAAATACGAACTGCTCTTTATATTCTAATGCAGGGATGAGAACTTAAAATATATGAATGGCTTCCAACATGTACTTATTAAAATGTTTTAATTTAACTAAGAACAATCAAACATAGAGCAATTGTTAAGTTAAGTAAATGAAGTTATAACAATAAACAATAAAAATCCAACAAGAAAGCAATAGGACTTTTTAAATCGCAAAAAAAAAATCGCAGCCTTTGTGATTTGCTAATGGGCGTTGTTTCAAATTGCGATTTGATAATCGATTCATGTTTCGATTTAAAGCTTTCGTGACTGCAAGGATTCATCTTCTTTGGTTCTTTCGGTAAAGTCACCACGTAGAATGAGAATAAAATAATAAATTGATAAAATAAAATAACACAATAATATTCTCACGACGTTTCGGCCACAACACAAGCGGCCTTCATCAGGTGAAGGGACGAGACTGTCTGGAGGACAGCGCTGGAGTCCTGATGAAGGCCGCTTGTGTTGTGGCCGAAACGTCGTGAGAATTTTATTGTGTTATTTCATCAATGTATTATTTTATTCTCATTCTACGTGACTTTACCGAAAGAACCAAAGAAGATGAATCGATTCATGTTTGAGAACTCATCCCGCTTACGCTCCACGGAGTTGCACGGTCGCACTCAGCTCGCACGCCCCCCCCTCCCCCCACGGTGAACTTCAGCTGGGCAAAGCTTCTCCCCAGAGCCGCGGTCTTGGCAGTGCCGGATTATATCCGAGTAGCAAAAGTAGCAATGTGCTACTTTCTGTTCTGTTACTCAGTGCCGGATGAAGCTAGTGCGGGGCCTGTAGCAATATGTTATAAAGCGGGTCCTAATAAAAAAAAATCAATATTAATACACACATTTTTAACTTGCACAGTAAAGAGGAGGGGGGGGGGGGGGAAGACGAAAAATAATGGATGCGGTCTGAAAGCCACCTTAAGCGTGATCAATCAATTAAGAGCCGAAATTGATCACGCTTAAGGTGGCTTTCAGACCGCATCCATTACTTATCGTCTCCCCCTTCCTCTTTTCCGAACATAGATGGACTCGTCCGTCTGAACAAACTGTCAAATCGCTCTCCGTGGTGCTAACGTTAAAAAAAAAACCGCCACTTTTTTCAAATTTTCTTGCTGTGGTTTTCACACCTGATGATGATTGCTTATGTTGCAGTCGAAACGTCGTGAGAATTTTATTGTTTTATATTTTTATTATTTTGTTGTTTCCCTTCTACGTGGTGACTTTACCGAAAGAACCAAGAATATGAATCCCTGCAGTCACGAAAGCTTAAAATCAAAATTGCACAGTAAAATACAGTAAAACCTTGGTATTGCGAGCATAATTCGTCCCGGAAACGTGTTTGTAATCCAAAGCACTCGTATATCAAAGCACATGTCGTTTAATCAGTTGTGATCACGTGACGCTCGGCAGTACAAAGCGTCTACACGTACACTGCTCGTATTGCAAGACCCTCGCTCGTTTATCAAATTAATATTTATTTAAAATGTTTGCTCGTCTTGCAAAACACTCGCAGAACAAGTTACTCGCAATCCAAGGTTTTACTGTAATTGTATTTTTTCATTTGCTATACAGCCAGATAATATGACAAATCGCTCACCTTAAAACAACCCAGTTGTTCATAAAAGTCGAAGGCAGTGTAGTACTATAGTAATAGCGGTGCCGGATTATCCAAGCAAATGCTACGTGCCCTTCCAAGGGCCCCGCGCTAAACGCTTTCAAGCTATCAATTCCGGTCCAGTGATTCTGCATTTGCTCTATTGCTACAGTACTATACTGCCTTCAACTTTTACGAACGACTGGGGTGTTTAAGGTGAGCGATTTGTCGTATTGTCCGGCTGCATATCAAATGAACAAATACACAATTACTTTACTGTGCAAGTTAAACATGTGTGTGTTTTAATATTTACGTGTTTTTATTTTTTCAACCGTAGGGCCTCTTTATAGCATATTGCTACAGGTCCCCCGCACAAGCTTAATCCGGCACTGGATCTTGTTGAGGATTTTGTGAGCGAGATGGAGAGAGAGAGAGAGATGGAGATGCTCGCTGGGGGCTGGATCCTCCTCGCTCCTTGCCACCCCCGCCGCGAGACGCCGTCTTCAACACGTCTTCGGTTTGGATATTTGAATCATTTGGCGGGACCCCAGGTCAATAATTATTACTTTTCAGTCCGCCCACTCGTGATCCCGACAGCAACGCGCCGCCCGCCCGCCCGCCCGCCCGCCCAGACTCGCGCCAACAAGCGCCAGCAGGCGGCGTTCGACACGACGGGCGCCACCCCACCGGCCAAACGCGAGGCCCCGGGGGGGCGGCGTCCGCCGCGGTCGCGCGCGGCGACGACGACGCCCTCCGGTCAGCCGTCGACCCTCGGCTTCTTTGCCAAGGCGAGACCCACCGCCCCCCTCAAGGCGGTGAATTTAACGCGTTTGTGTAATTTTTCAACTTTGTACGAAACTTAAAGTGTCCCCGAGTAGCTCTCGACGAGGCCAATCGATTGACCACTAGTTTTGTTGTTGTCGGTAAGGCGACAAGACTCGTGTCGCTACGCGGTTTTTCCCACCCCGGGGCAGTGATGGGACCCCGGGGTCCCGCCAATTGCTTCATTTAATAAACAACAACAAAAAAACATGTCCCTGC